CGATTTTCGTCCAAGTGGCCCTTTAAGAATATTCAAACTTTACACATTTCACACCCAAATGGTTTACTTTTACTGGGAGCCCACCACTAATTTTTGTGTGGGTGGGATAGGGAGGTGAAGTGAAGGAACGTAGCCCCCCCCCCCCTTAAAAAACTGTTTTGCCATCCCCGTTTTAAGATGTCAATTTAGATAAATTAGAACACCCAAAAGAGGATTTGATAAACCAAAAACCTGAATAGAGAAATTTTTGGAAAGTATTGTAGTTAAGAATGAGATAAGCTTATAATCTGTATTTTTATTCCCACAAAGAAAATCGAACCCCATTTCTAAACTTGTTCAACAACAACAAAATCTCAAAAAATTAAAAATTTGAAAGAAAAAGACCAAGTTTTGACACTTTCTCCAGACATCTAAAAAGTAAAAACTTAATAGATTCTTTGTAATATTTATTTCGCAATCTAAATATTACGAATAAACGTGATACCGTCTCTGACATGCATTAATAACAACACGCTCAGCTTAGAAATCGGGACAATTTTAAAAAGTTGGTAATAGAGACAACAATTATCGTGCAATACGACTTTATTTTTATTTAAAACGATGAGAAAGTTGAGAATAGGAGCTAGAGATGCGAACGATCGGAGTTTATGTGGGTTTATAGATGCGTCTAGGTGTTCACAAAAGGAGTATGACGAGAGAGTTTAATAGGTTAAGTCATCCATTCTTCACACCCATTTCTAAGCTCGGCAATCTTTCTCTTACCATCTGATCTTCGTTGAGTTTCATCCCATCATCCTTTTGCTTCTTGTAGGCATCAAGTTTTATCTATGATCACAAGCAAAACGAATTCAAAGAACAGACAATTAGGCCACACATTTCGTCTTAGCAATAAACCATGTGTCAAACTTCATACATATTTTCGCTCTCAGAACAAACGATCAAAACTTTGCCATCAAARCCTTTACCTTTCGCTTTTCCAAATTTCGGACCTTCTTCTCGACCAAGAGTAGACCAGATTTAGTAATGTCGTTGCTTTCCATTATCAAAACGGAATTGGAAGATTTCGATGAAGCTATTGGCATAGTATGGACAACTTGTTACCGCCGTGTTCTGTGCACATGTGCTTTGACGTCACGCCTAGACCATAATATGCGCTCAGTGCTTCACGGGAGAATAATAGCCGGTCACGTGGATATGACTTTATGCATTATTCTGTCACTTCCTTTTCCGAGTTTTGTTTTCGACCTGCGTTCTTAATAAAAAAATAAATGCGTGCACATTTGGTTCGTTCTTTTGTTTTTCTTTTTATTCTTTTCCCCTAAATTTCTAAGAGGGTTTACGATAATGTATGGAAGGGGAACAGGAGCATTTGTCCCTCAACATGGCTGAATTATGACTTCTGACATTAGCCTAGAAAAACTGTAAATATAAAGTTGCTCTAATTCCCTCTTCTTTAGCTTTTTCTTTTTATTATTCCTTATTTCTATTTTTTGGTCCTCGTCATATTTTTTAATCTGATAAATTTATTCATGAGTTTTTAAGAGACAAATGATCCATAAATTCTATCTATTTTTTCTACAATCGTCATTGCTGCTACAAGTCCCCTCCCCTGAGTCCCCTCCCTAATTTTGAGCCTTTAACGTTGACCAGATCAGTAGGCTAAAACGTGCTTCAATATTAATTAGCTTTTAATCTATTGGAGACTAAAAAAAACTCAATTATCAGCATCGTTTTGGCAGGTGTTTTTCTTTATTCTATTTTTTCATCATGAAAAATAACCAATACTTCTTTAAACAAATCGTAAAAAAAAGAGAACAGAAAAGGCAAGAAAAGGAAAGAAAAAGAAAAAAGAGAAAAGAAAAGAAAATTAGAAAAAGAAAGAGAAATAGAAAAGAAAAAGTGAAAAGAAAGGAAAGGTGAAATCGAAGAAAAATTGTTATCTTGTAGCTCTTTGATGAAGCCGCTTTTAAATTTGAAATGAAATATGATTTGAAAAAAAAATTGTTTTGCAAGAATAGAAGTAAATTTTAAAATTATTCAGGATATATACAGTGCTGTAGTAATTAGGAAATGAAATAAAAGTGTACAAATAATGTATAATTTTATGAAGGCGTTACCGTCTCATGGGTTACCTGTATCAGGCTTGGTATCTCGGCACAGCGTGCAAAAGCCCAATGCATTATGGGAAGTAACCTAAAGAAGGAACCTGAAAACCAAGTAAACCAAGTAAAATACGAGGAGAAAAAATACGCTTTTAAAACTCTCAACCCCTCATTTTGGTAAGATAATCACGCATATACCACCTAATATGCATAATCTTTACTTTTATATCAATTATCAGTGACTACAAGTCGATTTTAAGTGAGAAATTTGAAGGTTGTGTCGTCGAGTGTTGCCGCTTTTGTCTTATGTTCCAATTTTTCATGTTCGTTCTTCAGGTTTTCTATCTTCTTGAATTATTGAATCTAAGGACGCGCATAAAGCTACAAAAGTGGAAGGACAAAGAGGAAAGTCTTTAGATTTTCCGGGAGCGAGAACGACGGGTCCCAAATCGCAGCCAACTCCTGGTTCAAATGCTGCTACTGTTGTTGATAGTGCAAGATGGACACCTCCGTACAATCGTTCACGATATACAGACGAAAATGAGTTGGTTTTCCGACGAGTTCGAGGGTAAGTTCCCTTTATAATCCACTCATGCATTCTCTAGTCTCTAAAATTGTATCAAAAATCTTTTTTTTCTCTCAAAATACGCTTCTATGAATGCGATATATTTTAGTATAAGCCGCGTTGCTAATCATGGACGAGGCAGTGACAAAAACTAATTTCGTAGTCAAAAAAAATATTTCAATTCATCATTATAATTATTTTTTGCACCTGCAGAAGTACTTTATATTTCGTTGTATTATCTCATATATTAATTTTCTTCGGGTTTTTCCGTTGCCTGTTGCAGATATATGTATATGACAATTATGCTTATATAACGCTGGAATTATTTTTTATGTCACATACATGTAATTATAATCCTGAATAGATTTGTAATATTGCTTCAATATAGAATAAATAGAGCATCTGGCTTTTTTGATTAATAATCCTTTTGCTGTTCGAGTTTGAAATTACATTTGATCTTCAAGAAAAAATTAAATACCTTTTAAGCGTTCTTTTTAAAAATTTATGAATAGTAAAATCCATAGCTGTTTGTAAAACGTTTTCCATTAATTATTATAGTAAAACAATTTCCTTCACAAAAACAAACTAAAATGAAAAAAGGTCATCATCAACATTATATCAAATTTTAACAAAGAAAAATAGCCATTAATTTCGGCCTTTTTTATTCATAGTTCATAACTCAAAAATAATTTTTTATCTTACAATTCCTCTTTTTTTATATTTTGAGATAGTGTTTGGAAAAACAATTGCAAATATGAGTATTGGATGTTTTTTTAATGGACTGTTTTATTATGTTTTTTCATTATCGCAATCAAAACTTATCAGTCGGTACCTTTCATATTTTTTACTGGCAGCAGTGAAAAACCAAATCCCAATGCCGAATGGGCAAATCACAACTATAGAGCTGGCATGTTCACTTAGCAACAAGCTGGAATTTTGTCTTAAGCATTTTGATTTAGTTGTGTAAAAAGTGAAAAACGAAAAGAATGAACTTTAAAGCAGGAAAAAAATGATTTAAAAAATATCAGTTTGTAATAGACTTCCCCATATTTATTGTTATTATATAAATATCATTTGGTTTAAAGGTGTTTTCCAAGCACACCTCAATCATAACATGTACAGAAGTCCTTTTTCTCAATGAATAGATTGTACCTCTCTTTTTGATGACCACAGTCTCAGTTTTAATCTTATACACTTCAAATCAACAGTAAAACTTCCATGGATTTCAAAGCATTAGTGTTTGTACAATCTCATTCTATATTACAGTTGACTTTTGCAAATGTTTTGTCCTTGAACAAGACTGTAAGCCTGTACTGTAAATGAGTCTGTAAAGTAAGGGATCTGTCATCATAGTATTTACAAAAATTGAAAAAAATGGCATGATTTAGAAATTTGAAGTTTAGAACCAAGAAAAAAAGGCATTCCAAAGAAAAACTCATTTGTGTTCAATTCTTATCATAGAGTACGTGAATGATAATTAAGCTATCTAAATCTATATGAAACCATTGGTTGATGAAAATGTTGATTTTTTATGTATTTTTATTTCTCTTCAAAATGTATACAAAATTTTAAATTGTACTGTAATATAGTTCATAACTCTAGATATATCTCCCTTCCATACATGATGGGGAGTATACTCATCACCACAAAATTCCACTTTTAATCATTCGTAAAACTCATCACAAATAATATCAGGGTTTTCATCAAGGGTTGGGAATTGGAGAATGCTGCAGTAACTGAGCAAAATTCTCGTGATCTTTCCTGATATTTCAAATCTTAATGAAAACCCTGATAACATATAGGTGGGTAGTGGGTTTTGCAACAAAACAGCTGGAGGGCACCAATTACACCTGCAAAGTACTCTCGAACCACTAGGCTTAATATCACAAGCAAAAAATAAAAAAACAAATTAATTTTATTTAACGAGGGTACCATACATTACTGGTAGCCCAGTAGTTTACATTATGGCCCTCCTACAATTAATTAACGAAACTGAAATGAAATGATCAAAGCATCATAAAGCATTTTAAGGATCCCAACTGGCAGTTGGCTATTTACAAGCATGGTCAAAAAACTGAATCTGAACTAATCAGAGATCAGGACAAGTACAGTCTCAGCTAGTGGCCACAGCGGGGCTCGAACCCAACACCACAGGATTGCGAGACCGACGCTATGACCACTCGACCATGTTGCCTCCTATGAAGCAGTCAACAAACAGAAATTAGCACTTGCCTAGCAAAATGTTTCTTAGACCAATGCTATTGACCAGTCACAATGAGTGGTCCAGAGCTTCAATAATAAGTCAGCAGTGCTGGAGCTCCTGCGGTGGCTTCGAAGTTAACTGCCTGCTATTTTTTTCATTTCTATTAAAACATCATTAATCTAAATAACAGCCGGTTATGAACACCTCCTCTAAAACATTTTGAAAGCCCTGGTGGTCATATGTTGATCAGTTGGAAGTGGCTGGTCATTGTGTAAATCCATTGAGCAACCGTCATTCTTAGCCCTAAGCCCATACATTGAGTTTTTTTAAGAGTACTACTAGAGGTTAATATTCTTTGTTCTCTTTTTTTCAGGGTTCTTAACAAACTAACACCAGATAAATTTGACAAGTTGTTTTATGATCTACTAAATGTTGGCATCGAGACAAAGTACATCTTGAAGGGAGTTATTCTGTTGTTGTTTGAGAAAGCTCTAGATGAACCGAAGTACAGTTCCATGTATGCCCAGCTGTGTCTGCGGCTCAGCGAAGAGGCGCCAAATTTTGATGATCCTGGAAAAACTGGCAATTCAGTAAGTATGGGTGTCAGAGCTGTTAGTCTACATTATTTATGTTTTATTGAACCCTAACTCTCAAATGAAATTGTCCAGAATGTAGCATTTTAGGGTTTAATTTGCAGAGGGAGAAAAACTATAGAACATGGATAAACTTTGCTAATGTAATGCATTTAATGCATGTAATGCATCTATACCAGAAGTATAAAATATCAAAATTCTTTGATAAATTTTTTAGACATTCCRACGTTTGCTGCTCAAACAGTGTGAAGAAGAGTTTAACAACAGATCCAAGGCTAGTCAAGGTATTCAGGAATAGAATAAAGACAAAATAGATTTATTTAGAGTTGTATCAAGACATTCACATCAACCTACTACAGTGAAAAGTGGGCTATTTTTTGAGTTCCAAATTTTCTCTGTGTTCCTCGATTATATACTCAGGGTTAGCCTCGTATTAGTGTCTAAGATAACAACAGTAAAGTAAAGGATACACAACTTCAACAATACAAACACTTTCATGGACCTTTACTGCATCACATTAATATTCCTCACAAAATTGGGGCTAGCCTTGAGCAACAGAGAACTCAAAACTGGAATGTAAAATTATTTACCACCTCCAAAACTTTGTTCTAAGGAGGTTAATATTTTAAAGCCCATGTAAATTGAATGGTGTTCATGATTTTATTGTAGCTTTTGATAAGAAAGATGGCCCATTCACACAAGAAGAGGAAGAGCAGAGGTCTAACACCAAAAGGAAAATGTTGGGCAACATCAGGTTTATTGGTAAGTACCATATTTCCTCTATTAAGCTCTAGCTTTTAATGAGTCCCCAGTCTGAGGTGCCAAAGATTAAATAAGCCTCCAGCCTCTAAGAAGCCCCCAACCCCAAGGACCATTGTTGTACTTTTTTCCATGTCCGGCCATTGAAAGTCATTTCATCTGTCGAGATTATGAATAAAAGTAATCATGAATTTCCAAAGAAAAATATCGGAAGGTTGCCCCTAGCTTCTAATAAGGCCCCCCTTCTAAAAACCGCAGTTGAAGAGCACTGAAAAAGAATTAGCCCCAAGGGAAATACAGTAATTAAGATTTCTTGTTGATCCAGATCATGGCGTTCCATATTATAATGGGCCAGTCTGACTTCCCACACTTCATTGGGAAGTATTTTCATTAAGTTTCAAAATAGTGTGTAATCTGCCATGATGAGCTTAGCTCTTGGAGCAAACACAGAGAGTTAATATGTTTAAATAGAAATAATAATAAATTAATAAGAGAAGATCGAGGTAGTTTACTGTGCGGACACACTAACAGGGACCACTTGAATAAAACTGACCAATCAGATTATCACGTTCTCATGCTCTTATTATATCAATGTGCTATCTGATTGGCTGGTTAAAAATATCGAAACAAATGTCGCAATATGATTGGTTGATGATTCTAGTTTATCAAAGTGTTCCCAGTTGGAGTACATGCACAGTAAGCTGGACAATTTTGCACACTTACAACAACAACAAAAACACAAAACAAATTGGAAATATGAAGGAAACCTTAGCAATGTAAAATTTTACCTGGATTTTTTCTAGGTGAGCTGGCAAAGTTTGACATACTGCATGAAACTATCCTACATAAATGTATTAAACAGGTAAATATACATACATATGCATATATATTTATAATATACAGTATATTATGCAATAAACTCAAGGCTGTAAACTGAAGGTGTAGCTTTTACAATAAACCTTATTTGTCATGGTGCAAAATGCTTTCCCATTGCATACCACATGTCATTCTCTATCATTTTTTTGTTTAATGGTAGCACATGAGTAACATGAGTAATACATGGATATGGACACAACTTGAACAAAGAATCTTATTCTAAAAAGAATGACATGTGGTCTGAAATGGGAAAACACTCAAAAAAAACACTAATAAGGGCTCTATTTTTTTCGATGACATCCACTAAAATGTTCAATTTCATAGCATACCTCGCCATTCTCCACCCATCTCAACCCCCCATTTATTTATTGCATATACCAGGGTTCGTGCTACTCCTTGCAATCCTTGAAAAGTCCTTGACTTGAAAACTCGTTTTTAAGGGCGCTTGAAAAGCCCTTGAAAATAGGGGAAAATGCCAAAACTCCTGGAATACTCCTTAAATTTAATGCAAACTTAATGCTATTTCTAACTTACCTTTTAAAATAAATAACGATTAAAATTGATTGAAGAGTTTCTGGTTGCTTGTATACTGGTTGGTTGCGTGTCATGATCGTTTTGTATTGGTGGACATGGCCCCGGCTGRATTAGCTGCCCTGTAACATTGAATCAATGTTTAAACCACGTTCTAATACAAAAAACTTTGTCCTTGAAAATCGAATTTTTGTGCTTGGAAAATTGCTTAAAAAGTCCTTGAATTTTGAAGCGAAAATGTAGCACAAACCCTGAAATACAATCACACTATTTATATAATAGGGTATTACAGCTGTACATACAGTACTAGTATGTATTTAATTAGATATGTTTGAGGATGTTCCACAGTTGACATCTTATTAAATATTCTTTTTTATTATATTTACTGTATTCAGTTTTTTCTCTTTTTGATGTCTTGTTTTCAGTTATTGGACAAAAAGAAACGTGCATCTGTGGCCGACACGTCGGAAGACATGGAATGTCTCTGTCACTTGATGAAGACAGTGGGACCAAGGATTGATGTGCACAAAGCCAAGGTACTACTTGACTTTTATTAGAAGACAGAAATCCCTAATAATCCATTATATGTACAGTATATAAAATATTTAGCAAATTTAATTAGTCCTCAAGTCCGAATAGGCTATTGACTCATAGGCCATGAGGGCATGAGGACTAATATTGTTTTAGTCAAATCCAACTAGTCAGTCAAACATATAGATGCAGACTTGTAAGTGACAGTTGCTTCAGTTTTCCCAGTGGAATTAAAATATTGTCCTGCACACAAAACTACAGTGTCTGTGTTAAGGAGTACTACAAGGATTACGAGGCAATTTTCTCATGTTTTCTTAGGACAGTAAACAATATTGAAACAATCTATAATCAATATGTTAAGTGTATGCTACATTGAGTGTATAAGCAGATTAAAAAATCTGCCTCAGTTTGGTTTTTGCGGGACTCGAACCACTGACCACTCGTTTGCTAGATGAGATCTCAACCGCTTGGTCACTGAGGCTTTATGGGAGAAGTTCGTGTTAATCTATAATCAATTTTTAATTAGAGTTTTAAATTATGAGATACTCTAGACTCTTCCACAGTCTCTCACTTGTCCGTTCCATCTCTACGCTTAGAGACTGTAACGGTACAATGACCGAAAGGACTTATGTGTCCCGAAAGCTTGGACCCAGCGTGCTTTGGGAACCAAAATACTCGTCCACAGTCTCTCTCGTTTTCGCCGCCATCTTGAAAATATTGAAACGAGAGAGACTGTGGACAAGTATTTTGGTTCCCAAAGCACGCTGGGTCCAAGCTTTCGGGACACATAAGTCCTTTCGGTCATTGTACCGTTACAGTCTCTAAGCGTGGAGACGGAACGGACGAGCGAGAGAATGTGGAAGAGTCTAGAGATACTCTAGCTAATTCGTTGGGCTTGTGGACATATTAATGGTAACTAAGGGATGCTGGAACCATTGATTAGGCTCCCAGTGTGCCCTTCATTAATCTATTAAAATAAATATCTCTAATGTATCATTTTTTTATTACATAGCCATTGATGGACCAGTACTTTGAACGTATCAAACAGATCATGAGCAGACCTGATCTACCATCAAGAATACGATTCATGATGCAAGACGTTCTAGAGCTAAGAGAACACAAGGTTGGTGTTAGTGGCATGCACCACTTGCCACGAGAATAAAAAGACATGGCGGCCATGTTGGATGACATTATATTTCCCTTTAGCTATAATATAGCTATAATCCACATATTAGTGGCGTGCACCACTTCCCATGGGAATAAAAGGACAAAACGCCTCTTCAACGTTTTTCAAAATGGCTGTTTAGTATCATAAATTATATTGCTTTATGAAAACTAATAACTAAAACTAATTGAATTGAGCAATATGAAACCCGCATTCAGACCATGTTATTAATGCTTGTTGCTTTAAAACTGTTTTCAGTGGATTCCTCGTAAAGCAATCCAAGATGTTGGTCCAAAGACAATCTATCAAATCAGGCAAGAGGCATGGCAGGTACAGTATGGTATTAGTTTTCAGACTAAAGTAATGTTTTACTGATGGAATGGAAGTACTAATTTAATATAATACTATTGCTATGTATTACCATTATCACTATCACCATGGGCTGGGCTGGGCTGGGCTGGGCTGGGCTGGGCTGGGCTGGGCTGGGCTGATAATGCATTGCCTCTCATCCTGCCAGGCTTTGTGTCAAATGAGTTGTTCAAGTGTTCTCTTCTTTGCTTGAAGGGTTTTTCTCCAGGTTCTCCATTTTTCCTTCCTGAAACAAAAAACAACTTCAATCTTAGTCTGAGATATTCCCTTTATCTCCTTTCACACATCTAACATCATCAATTGATCATCATCATAATTCTCAAGAAAACATGTTCTAAACCAAAGCGTGTTACTGCAGTTTTACATTTTCTGCCGACTCAGACATTCCAACGGCTTGTTCTGAAATGGGTTTTTCGCTAACATTGATCAAAACTAATTAACTAGTCGGTACCTTTCATGTGTTTGATTGACGACAGCGAAAAAAAACTATTTCAAAACAAGCCGTTGTAATGTCTGAGTGCGCATTATGTAAAACTGCAGTAATGATTGAGTCAAAACCCTTTTCCAGGATTTTGGTCACTCTGGACCAACACCAATGAACAACCCACCCATGCTGAGAAACTCCCCACCTCATCATACAATGAACTGGCAAGGAAGACCAAACTATGGAGCTAAAGTACCATCCCATGTACACGGACGTGGTCTGAATGACGTGTTTATTAGAGAGAATGAAGAAAGAGGACTGTTTGACCATGAATATGGTAATGGAAATGGTCCCGATCCACAGCGGGGCTTTGGATTAAGGTACATTTACATGTCCATCCTAAATAATATTCATTGTGGAATGCATGATGTTATATACTTTACTTATAGACAATACAGTATTACATAATAATTGTGTTGCATTTAAGACCCAAAAATTTGCATTTTAGTCTTGGAATACACTATTTAGTATTCAGTATTCAATATTTCATGTTGATCAGGGCTTAACATAATGGTCAGACAATGTCCAACCAGAACTGGCACTTGTCCAGGCACATCTTTGCCTTGCTGGTCATTTTGACCAGTAAATAGAAAATGAGGTATGACCAAGCTAAAACTTTGCTAGCGACCATAAATGGTGACTGGTTGGCCGTTTTCTTAAGCCTTGCTTGATGAAGTTTTGTTCAAATTGCAAGGTATGATGAAGATGATTATGACAGCTTCACACCTAAAGATCCCTGGGCTACCTTGGCATCAAGTCACAGTCCACAGCGTGGGTCATCTCCTAATGCTTCTCCACCTGCCTCTCGTCATCAACATTACGGTAAGACTAGTAATCAAATCTTCTGGGAATCATCTTTATGGGCCCTTAGTTTTGTCACTGTTTGTAAAAGAGCTTTTGTTCATCATAACTAATAAGCTATGGTAAGACTAGTAATCAAATCTTCTGGGAATCATCTTTATGAGCCCTTAGCTTTGTCATTTCTTGTATAAGAGCTTGCTGTCTGTTTTGCTCATTATTACTCATGAACGATGGTAAGACTAGTAATCAAATCTTCTGGGAATCATCTTTATGAGCCCTTAGCTTTGTCATTGCTTGTATGAGAGCTTGCTGTCTGTTTTGTTCATCATTTCTAATGAACTATGGTAATCTTGACTAGTAATCACAGCTTCTGGGTCCAGTTGTAGAGTGCAAACAATAATTCCGTGAAACACTAATTACTAAATGTAGTACAAAAAAGTGCTAATTAAACAATAGAAAACAATAGAATTTGCATGAAATTGATTGTGCTAATTATAGATAAGTCATAGTGCTTGGGAACGATGTTATTCCGGGCGAAAGCCCTTGGAATTAAATTCGGAAAGATTAATTTCCGAACTCGCTGGGAATCGAACCCACGATCTTCGGAAATGTACTACCGATGCTCTACCAGCTGAGCTAGAGGTCAGACTGAGAGCAGGCCGGAGTGAAATAGATGTTAGGTAGYGGTAATTGTGATGCAAAGATGCATCTATTTAGCATTACTAAAGTTTCACGGTTTTCATTGCTTGCACTGTATGAAGGGTGGATAGTGCAATCCAACCAATAAATCATATCCAGTGAAAAAATGTATTGGATATCAGCATCGACTTATCCGCTAGATTAGGATTTATCCTTTGGATATCATTATCCACTCTTCTTATAACTGGGGCCTTTGGAATCATCCTTAATTTTAAGCCCTTGCTTTTGTCATAGTTTGTAAAAGAACTTGGTATCTTTGTTTTGTTGATCAATTAATGAGCTAAAATTATGTCTTCAGGTAACAGGCGCCCTCTGACAAGACCAAGCCCTTTGAATACTGATGGTGAGGTATGTACAGTGTATGAAATCTATCTTTTGCTTCTAATTGATAAATTATCTCTTTATACTCAGTCGCATATTAAGAAAGTTAAATTAGCCATTTTTGAAGTTTTGAATTGTTTAAGGTGAAAGGTTTAAATTTAGAGTTGCAATGTAGGTATTAAGTAATGGTGTATATTAAGGCGCATTTGAAAACGCCATGTTGAATTTACGCCATGTAAATAAACATTATTATATATCTGGACATACAACTTGATTATAAATTCATGAAAAGATTTATCTTCTTGCCATTTTATTTATAATGTATTTTAAGCTCTGAATCCTGGCAGATCAGTGTCATGCAAGTGGTTTTGATCAACTATGGCATTGGGGAATCATCATGTAGCCTTTACAGTATAACCCTTTGTAATGTTTATTTTGTATTTGCATGTAGATAAGCCTTCGTCCAGCAAAGGATTCTATAGCTGCCAAGACTCTAGGGATGGTAGGAAGAGCCGGGCAAAACCAATCTAAACTGGTAAGTTATTCTTGTAGAAAATACCAGTTCTAAATTCGTCAGTAGAAACGGAGGGGGGGAGATATTTGGACTAAAATAGAAAGACGATTAGAAATGTTTATATCATAATGGACATGAAGAATAGACCTCTTCGGCTCTGACGTAATGTTTTCCCATTTCAGACCACGTGTCATTCCCTAGATTATCATTTCTTTGTTTAAAGTTTGCGCTCGGTTGCACATGAGAAGACACATGAATATGGATACAGCTAAAACAAAGAATCTTATTCTCAAGGGAATGACACATGGTCTGAAATGGGAAAACATTACCCCAAGCCAAAGAGGTCTATTATAAAACAACTTTGCAAGATGCTGTTTGATTGATAAACACATTTCTTTGCTTTCATGTGTGGAGTCAAACATGTTTATTGCATGAAACGTGGTGTGTTTTTTGTTACATGAAACAACAGTTTGGTGAGATTC